CTCTACGTCTCCTAAGAGCTGCGATACAGAGTTCTGAAGTTTCAATGCGCTAGAGAGTGTCCCCACAGGGCACCCAATTATATACGCCGGCGGGCGGAGGAAACGCGCAAAGGCAATACTCTTGGCACGTTTGATGACTCCGGTGACGAATCTAAATTGGGGGGGGGCTAGCGATTTCAAAACTGACAAGACTTACTTAAGCTCATTGTCATCTCTGACTGGCTTATCAAACTCTTGCTTCAATCCGACACTAAATGGCCCAGCCTCTCCGCGAGCAGCTTCGGAGATGGACATTGCTGCTTCGCTCTTGCTCTGATGGTCCATCAAAAACGTAACATGCTTCAAGCCAGCTTTCATCTCAAGCAATTGAATATGGTTGGTCTGGAGAGTTCTGGTGTTCTTGTTGATTTGAAGAAGGTCTTCTTCGAGTTTCTCCAAGTTGGATTCCATTTCTCCCATGTGTATTGGTTGAGGAGCTGGGATATGGTCAATGTAGTCTGGGAGGGGCCCCAGATCTTGGAGATTCTCATCCGCTTCGCGCGAACAGAATACATATTACGAATGAGAATTTTATGGGTTTTCTCATGATATAGGTCATTAAGTGTAACTTGGAATCCCGCTCAGATAGTTCCCTAGTCAGTCTTCACATAATTTTCGACCTTTTCTTCACTTTGTTTTTAACGGATTCAAAATGTTTTTTGCTGATAGTAACACCCGGATCTTCCCATTTCAAAAGTTATAAAAGTTTTATCTCGTCTTCTTTAAACAATTTTTTTTTCAAGTTTTATCTCGTCTTCTTAAGAAAAATTAAATTTTAACAATAACTTCCTCACACTTCCTGTGATAACCATACTCGTCAGTCATCATTATCGGAATACCTTTCTTCACCTTTTCATGATTTCCTGATGTTTATCTGTAGCTTCTCAATTCTAGTTCCATATACGCAATTGATTCGACTCAAATTCAAGTCATTGGCGTGCTTTTTTATTATACCACTACACTGATAAGAACATTTAAAACACTGTTTTTAAGGTCTTTACTACTCCTTCTTTTGCTTGCAATAAAAATCAATATACTGTTTTAAAATGAAGAAGCGATATAGGATCAGCATTCCGATCGAATCGGCATACCAGTGCGTCGTGAAGTTGAGAGTTCTTGGAGTGAGTCAGTTTATTGATTCAAGGGAAAACGGACACAACACTTTCGAAGATGACGTCAGGAAATGTGATGATAATTTTGAGAAAATTCGTAAGAATTTTATGGATATTAGTTTTTAAATTTTTTTTTATTTATAGAAATGATACAGTTCCAAATCCAACAAAAGGGATTCGAAATTCCTGAATACAAAGAAGATGTTGCGATTCCAAGCCATGAAGAAATGACAGAAGTTTGATCGAAATTAGATCTTGTTCACAATGAGTTGGCACAGGTTCAGAAGAAGATAGACGATTTGTGTAATGATAAAAAGAGATTAACGGATCTGAGAACGATTTTACAAACGATTCCCAGATACGGAATGACACAACATGGATTTACAGAAAAAATTAAATTGGAGGATCAGCTAGAGTGAGTTCAGTATTTTCATCAATGTGATAAATTCTTATTTTTTCGGAATCATGAATGGAATAATCAGATCACGGAGGAAATCTGATTTCGATACATTCCTCCGGAGAATGACTCGTGCTCAAGTGTTCGTTAATCTACTTCCAGGTAGCTATGATCCGTCAGACTTTCCACAAGAAACTACAGAGAAAAGAGTTTTTGTTCTATTTGTGTGTGGAAAGGAACAAAGAGAAAAAGTGAAGAAGATATGTGCTGGGTTCAGTTCGAAGTGCTATGCGATTCCGGATAATATTGACCCTAGATCTGAATACTTGGGCAAAATTATCACACAAGCGGATGAAATAACAAAAATCATCAAGAACACATTGAATTATCAAGCCAAGATAATGCGAGCTGCAGCTACATATTTCATGAAATGGAAGAAAATGAATCAAAAGTATGGATTGATTCTGAAAATTCTCAATCGATTTTCATTGGATGACTCTACGCACTGTTTGAATATAGAGTGTTGGATAACAGAAGATGAGGTCAATAATATTCGAAATACAATTACGACGAATGGGTTCGAAATTTTTGAGTTTGAAATAGAATCAATGAATACTTGGAGGCTACGAGCTTTAATATCATAAAAAGGAAGTACCGTTTTACTTCTAATAGACCGACGTATCTGTTTGATGCACACAAGATAATGAAACAAATTTGGTCTAAATAAATTTAATTCGCACCTATCTATTTCTTTTATTTTGTTTTCGAAACACATATGTCACAAACTGTCCAGTTACAGTATCGGATAAAAATATATTGATTCTTTGAGGAAAAAGATCCCAACCCTGAAAAGAGGTTGTTCCATTTCGGTATATATATTCTTCTCGGCAAAAGGAAAAGGTCCATGGGTGCATATTTCTGGTAGGATGGACGAACGAAGAAGTCTCCGAAAAATATCCATTTTCTCGTCAGTTCCTGGCTGTTTGTTCACATTTCAGTGTGACAAGAATCCGAAGAAGTTCTTCCCAATTGGCCACCGGTTCAATCGTAGTCGTGTGGAAATTTTATCATTCCCAAGCCAAGCCGTTATAGGAGGAAGTAGAAGTGACAAAAATGCATAAACGTGTAAAAAGTGAAAAAAAAGGAAAAGGGGGGAGTATGAAGACAAAATTGCGGACGAAGAAGAAGTCGCCAATAATAATAATAACAAGAGGGAGTGGAAAGCTATTTAGTTTTTTTTTCAGAAATCTAACAAGTATTGAAAAATACAGGTGTACAAAAAAACTGTGAAATTAGAGTGCATAATGAGAATTGAGTTTCTCTGGTCATCGACAGGTCGATACCCTCACCGAACGTCACATTGTCATATTTGTCGATGGCACAGACTTTTTTACAAAGGATACAAATGAACCTAACCTGAAAAGGTGACAATTCGGCAGATAATGACACATGCACCACACATAACCCGTCTAAAACTCCATTATGATTGACAGCTGTACGTGCTAAATTGACAGTTTCTCAAGAATATCAGGCACAAAAACGTATTTTTTCTCGTCGTCTCGTACAAAAACTGTTTTTTTTGCACCTCGCCAATGATTTCGAAAGAACTATCCTGATAATATGATTCCGAAAGAACTATCCTGATAGGTAAGCTTTCCATCTCGGGCGAATTTTACACGCCCCGCCCGCCCGGGTGTGGCACCCGCCCGACGCCCTATTTTTTGAAACGCCCGAATTAAATTTCATTTATTTTTTTGCGTTAAAAAAAATTTCAGTAGGGCGTTTTCGGGAGGCCCGCCCGAGATGGAAAGCTTACTGATAGGAATCGTATAAATATGTACGGGGCAAAGTAATCAGTCCGAAAATTTTCTTCCTTGTTTCGATTAAATCGGTTTGAATGTGCACCTAGCTACGGGCCGTCCTATATTTTTCATAACATTTGTGCTTCGAGTTTCAGAAAACTCCCAATAATAACGACGACGCTTTGAAACTATTTATTTGCTCAAATAAAAACACCATAGAAATATTGGACAAACAATTAATGCTCTATTTTCAGGACAGAATATGATAACGGGACATGTATACATAACGGCGGTCTTCATATTACTTTTCCCAATAGTTCCAGGTGATTTATTGTTCAATGATTTATATTTCAATTTCTTTGTTTTTTGTTCCCGTTATCCATTGCCGTATGTACTTGTTGAACAGCAAATTACAGTAACTCTTGCACAACTTGCCAATTGTCAAAACTATGGAATACCATTGAACGCGACGGATTGCAGGTGTCCAGCTTATGTCGCAGGACAGCTTTGCCAAAATGTCATGTACGTGTTTCGAAAAAAGTTTGCAGAAAAAAAAATACACTGATAACGAGTTGATCAGCTTTTGAGAAAAGTTTGATAACATGCAGAAAGAACCACACTTTCGAGAACAATTTCGAATTTGCCGAAAATTTTGCAATGCAATATTTTGCGAATCAGTTGCAAAAAAGCGTACTTTTCAGATGCCGGCGATATGCAGTTCCCGACAAGGATCGATGTGCATGTGCTCCTGGATGGTACGATAAATATTGTGGATTGCGTGGATGTAGACCTCCAAATGAAGATCAAATGGATTTGGAGAAGAGATCTTTGATCGTTGTTTTCAATACAAAGACTACGATGAAATCTCAATTAGACACCTTGAAACATAATTTCAATGAGATGGTTTCGAAAATTATGAGGGTGTGAACAAGAAGATTTCAGACGTTTTTGAACATCTTCATATTTTTCAGAATTCATTTGGGACAAGAACCCCTTGGATCGACAACTACATCGTTTATGGATTTGTCAAATCTGGATCCAACCTGCATATTCAATCTGAATTTGTCTATGATTCTGATGACGTTATCAATTATCTGAACAACTTGGAACTATTCGACGGAGATGCCACTCAACCATTGCTAACAGCTGTTAAGGATTCACAATAAAAGTTTCCGAAAATGAAATCTCATGCGATTGTTTTGGTTTTCACAGACAGTCCAGCTTCAGATGCAACCCCTTGGTCACATAGATTTACAGATAAGAATGCAGAACAAGATGTTCTTCAGATCTCGCTTTTATGGAGATCCAAAGTGAGGGAAAAGAAAAAGGTGATTTAAAAATATGATAATAACGTTCAGTACTATTTCTTCTTGTCATTACCCAAAGGAGTCGACCTCTCATCAGATGGAGTTGATGTCTATCGTCGACTAGCCCTTACCAACCATGGCGACAATTTCTACATTCAAGATTCCAATGACCTCTCCAACGTTCTTCTCTCTGTTATTGGTTCTCAATATTTCCCAGAAAACGTATCAGTTGGATATGGACTCACTCGGGATGAAACAGTGACGACTTATGTGGATAGCGATGGAGATTCCGTTTTTTTTTCCTGCTCACAGTGAATCCATTGACAAGTATGCGTGATAGTTGATCTGAAAAAATGTAAATTTGATTATCAGATTCAAAACTGCCTTCAATATCAGATGCGAAACTATTGGTTGAAGGACCATCGTATAGAGTAGGTTCGACATATTCTTCAAGTTTTTATGCAGTTGTTTAGCTCTACACAAGATCCAGCAAACTTGGAGACACAGTCACGATCTCTTCCACACCTGGATCAATCTACAACTACAGAATGTTCATTCAATCAAAGAATACTATATTATTCAATTACAACGATGACATGGTCATTGATGTTGGAAACGGGATGGCAGTCATAGGTAGGGTGAAATCAGTTTCGAAAATATTTGAACCTCAGGGAACCATTTTTTATAGTCACCGACGATCTCATTAAATATCCCCAAGAATAAATTTGGAAATGTTTGATTCTAGGAATCGACATGTTTTCCACAATGGAAACCTACGGATTCACACAGTGGTTGAATACCAGCTACGACGTCCGGTCATCAGAGGGAGAACTATTAAGAGAAAAATACTACGCATCTGAAAGATCCCAGAAAGACTGCACTTTTACATACGGGTTCCCAGCATGGCCAACTTTAGAATGCCCAGCAGGACCTATCACGTAGGGGTTTTTAGAGAAAATTGGAAGAGTTATCTTGCAGTTTTCAGACAACTACACACTTTCTACTATAACGGGTTTAATCAACAACGAGTTACTCCAGGATATTGCATAGAAAGTGAGCCAAAGTTTGAATGACAATTGAAAAGTTTTTGAGTTTTTAGGCGATCACAATGACGAACATCCTAATGGAGCTACCTGGAATAGCCATGAAGAACACATGAAAGCTTCTCAAAACGACACCATTCAATGTAATCAGAGAAACATTGAAGCAATCAACGATCCACGACTTGAGGAAGCTAGACAAGTATGAAAAGCGAATTCTATCTGGAACTTTTTTTAAATTTTCAGTATATTTTCATTTTGGAGCAACATTCTGCCAACGAACAGATATATATGACTCTGGCAATGGAAATCAGCCAAATTCTGTATTTGACCAATGTTACCACGGAGACGTCATACAAAAAAGAATTCACACTGATAGTCCACGACTCCAAAGGTTATTTCTTATGAGGATTCATCGGTAATGACTCATTTTCCAGAATCACATGTTCTTCTGAGCTCCTACAATCCAATTCTATTTATTGAACGATTCCAAAGTTTGGTATCTTCGTTGACCCTCATCCCAAATTTAGACAACACAATGGGACTACTTTCAATAGTTCAAGCTCAGAAAATGAACATTCAACCAACTGCTCAAGTGTATTATTTCACAAATCAAGCTGTTAAAAATGTTCAAAATATATCCAGACACTGGGATATAATAGGAAGACACATGGAGGTATTAAAAAATTGAAGAAATTCAAGTAACATTTTAAAATTCAGGTCAACTTTTTCACCATTGCTGATGGAGTCACTACAGAAATTTTTGCACTTCAAAAACAGTTGGAACTTGTTCAAAAAATGTCAAACGGTCGACTGATCCCACTGGGAAAAACTGAAAATACAGTATGTTTCTCATTTTAAAAAAATACTCAAAAATTGATAACGATTACAGCTTTATCCATTATTTGCTGATATGATGGGAGTGACTACACTGACTACTGACAATGAACAATATGTGAGATAATTGGAATATGAGCAAATAATATAATATTTGGTTCAGAATTGCCATGATGCTCCTTTGGAAATCAATGGATATTTAGAGGATGGAGCGGAATATTCCGTTATTCAAGTCATTGGAACTGGCTTGAAAACTGTTTCAATGCAAGACTCAAACGGTATGGAAATTATCGAATCTTTTGTTTCAATCTTTGAAAAAAAAAATAAATGCGTTCACTATTAATTAGAAACTTTGCAACAAATTAACTTCATTTACTCTCATCTCTAAGAAGGATTACACAACTTATTCGAACCCAAACTTCCTCTCCATGAAAATTAGTAAGAGTCATCTGTCCAACAATAAATCATCATTCGAAACGGAGTTTTAAGAATCGAATATATTCGCTAGTGGAGTTTGGAAACTATCAGCATTAGTCACCTCGGGTGGCTGCCAGATTACAGTAAGACAAAAAACTTCGATTGGGATGATTCTTGGATTCACGTCGTCTGACAATGATGACATTGCTTCCACTCAAATAATTTCACAAAGAAGTATTTTGGCTATATTTTTGATAAATTACAAAGTTCACTATTTAGGTTTATCCGGATTACATCCGATTTATTCCCTACTCAAAACAACTGGAGAAGTCACACCAACTAATTTGGAACTACGTAAGACGGGGGTAGTAATACCAAATGTATTGCATATAATTTTTCAGAAATTGTGAATAGAAAACGATACGATCAACCTCAAAGTTATTCGAACTCGACGATTACTCCGCGAGATGCTAATTCTTGTACATACAATTTCGTATCCGAAAGTCTAGTGGTTCCGAAAAATGAGCTCGTAACAATCACAGTATCTGGTTTTGATTTTGGAAAACTAGTTCTTCATCGGATATTCTACTATTATCAACATCTACCAGCAGATCCATCAGTATGTCATGGCGGTCAAGTAGATCAATTCGGACAATGTATATGCCCAGAAAGATATACTGGAGAGTACTGTTGGGATAGAATATGCCAACAACCTGCAATATATTCCTATGGAATGTGTAGCTGCTTTCCCGGTTTCTACGGTGATTTTTGTGAAATCGGTTGGTGTCTAAAAGAAGTTCATTTCATTATAATACTCGCAAACATTTTCATTACTAGTCATAATTGCCACATTTTGTTTGTATTTTGTCTTAATTTGAAGAATGCACAACACTTCAAAGAACTGTTTTTTAAATCGAAAATATTTTCTTTTACTATTCTCTGGATTATAAAAGCCCACAAGAAAACAAAATACATTTACAGTAAAATTTCAATTTTGTGTTGTATGGGTCTTCAACATTTTGGCCAAGCTGTCAAACAGATGATCTGCTTTCCATTTTTTGAAAAGTCACACCAACTAATTTAGAACTACGTAAGACGGGAGTAGTAATACCAAATGTATTGCATATAACTTTCAGAAATTGTGAATAGAAAACGATGAAAAATCCTCTCCATGAAAATTAGTAAGAATCATCTGTCCAACAATAAATCGTAATTCTAAATGGAGTTTTCAGAATCGAATATATTCGCTAGTGGAGTTTGGAAACCATCAACATTAGTCACCTCGGGTGGCTGCCAGATTACAGCAAGACAAAAAAATTCGAACTCGACGATTACTTCGCGAGATGCTAATTCTTGTACATACAATTTCGTATCCGAAAGTCTAGTGGTTCCGAAAAATGAGCTCGTAACATTGACTGTATCTGGTTTTGATTCTGGAAAATCAGTCCTCCACCGGATATTCTACTATTATCAACATCTACCAGCAGATCCATCAGTATGTCATGGCGGTCAAGTAGATCAATTTGGACGATGTGTATGCCCAGAAAGATATACTGGAGAGAACTGTTGGGATAGAATTTGTCTACCACCGGCCACTCAGTCTTATGGAATGTGTTGTTGTCCTCCAGCAACCTATGGAGATTTCTGCGAACATGGTTAGCTTAGAGTTAAGAGGTAATCGAAAGATCAAGTTTCAGATTTGATATTCCCGATAAACAATAAATCTGTATCAGTGGTTCCAATCGAAACGACAACGAAGTTTGCTCAACAACACTTATCTCTTCTAGTTCTAACTACGCATAACGATCATAAATGTATATAACTGATTTATAATATTGCTTATGAAGAATGTATAAAGTGAATCGGATTCATATACCGTAAAAGCTGTTTTAGAAAAGCAAACCAGAGGTACTGTAACAAACAAAGCTTTCACGCCATTAGAATTGTGTTAACAAATATGCAAATACAGTACCGGTCAATAAAACATACAAAGACATATTTTTCATTCGATTTTCGGCTATTTTGTTCATTTTCAGGAGTCTGGAGCTTGGTGTTACAGTTTCCGATCACTTCAAAAATTTTGTAGGGTGTAAAACAGACCTAAATTAAAAACTTTGCATTCACAATTGTTTTGAAAATTTCTAGTATTTCAGTTATTTGTCGATTTCTGAAAAAACACCTGTTATTTTCACGTTTTCAATACAATAACAGGTCAAAAGGGGTTTCTTTCATAAAATGGTGATAAGCTGAAAAACTAGAAAATTTCAAAAAAATGTGAATGCAAAGTTTTCAATATACCGTATTTCCTCTAATAGAAGCCCACCTCTAATAGAAGCCCACCCCCTGACGTGCTTAAAAACATAGAAACGCATCCTCTAACAGAAGTACGGGCAGTTCAGTTAATGCAGTTTGAACAGTTCAGTTCGTCTATTCGGTTATTGTAGACATTTTCTTTCTATTTCAAAAAATTTCTGGTAATTTCAGTTTTTGGTAATTTCCTAAAAAAAGAGGTTGAAAAATAGAAGCCCATGGGCTTCAATTAGAGGAAATGCGGTATGACATACAACTTTTTCAAAGTGATCGGAAACTCTACGTCCGAGCTCCAGAATCCTGAAAATGATCAAAATGGCCGAAAATAAACTGAAAACAATGTTTTTGTAAATCTTATTGACCGGTACTGTATGTGCCTATTATTTTAACGGCGTTATTGAGTGTGAGAACTCCCGATGGACCCCTTTCTTTCAATCTACTCGTGAGACCGATACCATACTCATAAATCAAACCAAACGGGATGGGTCCTTGTAGATGAAAATCACCCTGTTACACTACCTTGGAACAAAGATGAGTCGGCCCCTCTGTAACAGGTACGGTAAATTGGATAGTCGGCTCGCAAACACAAAATTGTCATTCAAGTGTCGACTGATAAACTTGACTTTTTGCCTTGTATATGACAGAAATCACCTTGTAAGTAAATGTTACGTAGTAGACTTTGCGAAACGACACCGTGATTAGTTTCGATAAGAATTCAGGTACGAAAAGACATAGATCAGAATTCTTGAAACTCTTACTCTTGGGAAGTTTTGAATATTCACGGCCTGGACAGTCGTTGGGCACTGTATCCAAAACCTAGACAATGTGCTTCAAAAATGACACAGTCAACTAGGAAACTGTTTTGAAAGTGGTTAAAACCGGGCATTATGTCTTATTAAGAAAATGAGTTATCGACTCACCAAATGTTTCCAACTCCAAAAAAAAGCATCCATTTGCAGAAATATTTCTACTGTCATTGACATGTCAAGAGTTATTTTTGGGTAAGTAAAGTGTTGATTTCATCCAGTTGTATTTATAGAATTCGGTAAAAATGATTCCAGCACATAACATAAAACACCGAGAAAGGGGTGATGATAAGACAATAGGCAAATGCGCACAGTCGCTTACGTAATCATGATTTTAGTTTGATTTTCAGTCAATGGCTAGTCTGAAATGCAAAGAAAGTCTTTCATATGATCAATTCAAAATTTGAAAAAATATAAGAAAAATGTCTAATAGCCCGGTTTTAATTAGATCTCAATCCATCAATCATAAAAAGGCGAGCGACAAACATAACTAGATTCAGAACTTCGAGATTATTATAAGTGATACAGTAACTAAAACGATCATGGAGATTCTTTTCAAGTAAAAGATTTCGAAACTCTCGGAAAAAAAATAGATACACAAAACTATGCAATGAAATCCGGATTACCTGCATTAAACTAGATAAAAGTACACACGATATAGAGAACAATGTATTTTTAGTTGCCAATATTCACTAACAAACAAAGCTTTTGAAATCAGGACCGTCTAGTCAAGTAGGCTTTTTGAAAATAAATGGCCGCAAGACCACAGGGTCACCGCAGTCTAAATCTTACAGAAGGATACTGTAGCCTCCATTCGACAGTCTTGCCAACAGACAACATATTTCTTCTTCTGTCGAACTTTGTTTTAGGAACCGAGATGATCAAAGTTGACGGTTATCAGAGAACACTTCTATCAGGATTTTGGCTCCGCGTCACTTCGAAACCAGTCATTTCTAAACTGCCACTCCGAAACCGCTGTGATACAGGCGAATGCATGAACTTCAGATTACAAAAACAATTTTAGGGTTTTCAAATATGCTTCTTCTGATAGAACACATTCAAAAATTCGAAAAAATCCAAAATTTAAATTTGTCAAAAACATTTTTTTAGAATTTGTTGTTTTCAGAAAGTGTTTTATCAGAAAAAATCTTTTTTGGAAACACTGAAATTGTTTTTGTAGTCTGAAATTCATCCATTCGCCTGTATTACCACGGTGTCAAAATGACCGGTTTCTAAGTGTCGCGGTTTCGAAATGATGGATTTTACGGCATTGAGATTTTCCTACCGATAAGTCATGAGAATGCAATATTTTAAACTGCTATCAGGTTCGAGCATAATGACTCTTGAAAATTCTAGAGTTTACTATTAACTTGCCAGTATCTCATATTTTGTGCATTATCTCATACTTTTAGTCTGTAGATTCAAATTAGAATATTAAAAATGCTCTCAAAGTACCGAACCTCAAAGTCCTTCTACAGTATGATATTTCACTAAATACATGTATCAGGACACTTCAATCACCTACCTTTCTTCTATATCCACAACCTTGTAATCCAGTACCAACCCACCGTATTAAGTAAAAGCTTTAAAGTCGCATTAGTGTGCCTAAAACTGCTGAGTTTTCGGTAAATTGTGCCCTGACTCCGCCCCTTCGTTAAAACAAGAATCATTTCGGAAAAAAGAAAGCGCACTCCAGAAATAGATGATTTGCTTGAGCAAACTCAACATGCTGCGGTACTCGGTTCTATTCCTATTGGCTGCTACTTCAACGATTCTTGTAAACGGTAGGAGTAGACAATGTGAGGAAAATTAATTCATGGGAGGAACCAAGTTTACAGGTGAGCAATGCCAAAACGGAGGTACTCCAATCAACGCAACGTCTTGTCAGTGTCCAGCGTTTATCGCTGGGGCCAACTGTGAAACTGTTAAGTGAGTTTGTGTGTGTGTGTGTGTGTGTGTGTGTGTGTGTGTGTGAGAGAGAGAGAGAGAGAGAGCGGGGCTGAACCTCCAGGGCTCCGCTTACAGTACCCGTAACTTTATGGAAATAAAGTTTTCTTAATTTTTCCGAATTCCTGAAAATCTGAATTCATGAGTTTTTACTTTTCTAATATCCGAATTTTCTAATTTCCGAGTGTCTAAACATCTGGAATTCCGAAATTCCGATTTACAGATCTTAGAAAGTTCACAAATTACAAGTATTCCTGAAATTACGCATGGTCCAGAATGATATTTTAGAAAAATCAAGGCCGGATAAAGTTGAGAAATCGTCCTAGGGATACTGTAGAAAGATAGTGTCTACTCGGTCTTGAGCTTTATTTACTATGTAATCCCAAATCTCATTACGATTACTGGAATTCGTTGAAAGATTCCATGTAACCACGTGCGGAATCGAGTCCAGACATATTTATGATAAGCAATACGTGACGAATGAAAAATTAGAGGTAGCAAAGTTTTAATTTTTTAAACATAACCAGCCTGTTTGCCGCGCCTCCGGCGCTTCAAACAGCTAGCGGGTGTGGCTTCGGCGCACATTGACCTTTTTTTCGTCGCTTCGCTCCTCTGTCTTACTCAAAGGGTCACGTCAATTTATATTTTATTTCAACTTTTTCCACGTGTGCGGACAGAGTGACAGAGAAATAAAGAGCGCAACATCATTTATTTATATAAGAATGATGATGATAAGAATGATAAGAATGATGATGTCTGGGGGCGAAATTGAGGTTGCATCTAGAAGCATTTGGACTGTTTTCAGATGCCAAAGATGGGGGATTCCAGACAAGAACAGATGTGTTTGTGCACCTGGTTGGTATGACAAGTATTGTGGAATCCGTGGATGTAGACCTCCAAATGAAGGAAATCTTGATAACTCGAAGAGATCTATAATTGTCGTTTTCAATACAAAAACCTCCATGGCTGCACAATTGGCTAGTTTGAGAGCAAATTTTAAGACCATGGTGAACTCTATTACCCAAAACTGGAACAACAATAACCAAACGGAAAATTGGATTGCTAATTATATGTTCTACGGTTTTGTGCAAGGAGCTCAGCAACTCACGATTACTAAGAACTTCACGGAGAATCTGGAGGACTTCTTGAGCTACTTGAGTACGGTACAGCTTACAGATGGGTCTGATTCCCAACCTGTGTTGGCGGCTGTGAAGAATTCTCAGCAAACGTTTCCGCTGATGAAATCACATTCCATCGTTCTTGTCTTCACGGATAGCCCCGCATCGGATGCCATGGCTTGGTCACATAGATTCGAAGATAAAAACCTGGAGCAATTGTGTCTCCAGATTTCATTTTTATGGAGATCCAAAGTCACTTTCCTTCTGTCCTTCCCAGAGAAAACTGACTTCACTGAGGACGGTGTAGACGTTTATCGTCGTCTTTCTATGTCAACTCATGGAGATTATATCATTGTGAAAAGTGCCGATGAGACATCAGAGGTTCAGCTCACAGCGATTTATATCTCTAAAAAAATGTTTTGCTTTCAGATACTGAGAAAGGTTATCTCAACATCATTCTTCCCCGAAAACGTTGGAGTTGGATTTGAGTTGGAAGTGGGAACATCTATTAATCCGACACCAGACAACGACGGCGATTGGGTGTTCACATTGCTAACTACAGCAATGGGAGATACAAAAGATCTTCCCGATATCCAAGGTACCATCGTGATCAGTCAAGGAAGTGGTTACAAGGTACTGTTTATTACTACTAAAAATAGTTTTATTTTTTAATATTTTCAGTTGGTAGCTGGTCGAAACATGAAGTTCGTGACTATAACTTCTGCCAATGGAAAGTACAACTACCGAACCTATCTTCAATCTAAAAACACTCTTCTCTTCGATTATAACAGTGACATGATGATTGATGTGGGTAACGGAATTGTCCATTTGGGTGTCACCATGCACTCTACCATTCGAACTTTTGGTTTTCCTGATTACCTAAGCATGTCATACCACGTCGTTCAGTGGAACGAAAAACTAGTTAGAGAAGCATTCATAGCGTTTAGAAGACCACAGGAAGACTGTACTTTTGAATGGGCATTCAATCCATGGGTGAACACAGACGATTGTCCACCTGGACCAATTATGTGAGGAATAAATGAAATAGCATGAATGTAGTTCAGAAGTTTCAGGCAAGTGCATTTGCTGAACTACAATGGCTACTACAAAGGACGAGTGACTCCTGGATATTGTGATCAGAGTGAGTAGCTAGAGAATCTTCTGACTTGTTTAATTATTTGTTCAGTTGCTCACTATTCTCCACAAGTTCAAGGATTCGTCATCCCAGAAAACCAAAACGTAATGGTTCGTGAAAAGACTCGAGCCATTACTCCAGTTGAATCCTGTTCGATTAATAACATTGATGTCATCAATGATCCACGTCTTGATTCTCCGAACCAATTCATTTTCATCTTGGAACAACACATAGGAAACCTAAAAGTGTATCAGACGCTTGCAGCTGAAATTGAAAAAATTGTGAATCTTGTGAATCCAGTAACCGAGAACTCATACCAAAAAGAATTCACTCTGATTGTGTTCAATGATGTCAACTCACGAGTATTGTTCAGTTCATACAACCCCAATAATTTCATCAAAAAGTTCATGGAAGTGATTCCACAGTTGGAATATTCCAATTCATTGCAAAGCTCTCTTGGACTTCTTTCGATCGTCCAGGCTCAGAAGCAGAATATCAAACCAACATCACAAGTTTTCTATTTCACAAATCAAGCAACGACGACAGTAGCTCAAATTGATAGAGGATGGGATATCATTGATAGAAACATTGAGGTGTGATTTTTCAGTTTGTCATTTTTAAAATCTAACCTATTTAGTTCAACTTCTTCACACTTGCTGATGGAGTTACAACTGAAATTTTCTCCCTTCCTAAACCATTAGAATTGGTTCAAAAAATGAGCAATGGCCGTATAATCCCGTTGAGTGGAAGCGAGAATACGGTAACTTTTATTTTCGAGGTCTTTAACATTGTTTGAAAGTTTAGTTGGTTAACCTATTCGCTGACATCATGTCGACAAATGCGCTTACGACTGATAACGAGAACTACGTGAGTTTCTTATTATAGTCTACAGTAATCTCATACATTTCCAGGACTGTCAATCATCTCCATATAAGTTGGATGCCTTTGTGGAGAAAAACGTTGATGCTACCGTATTTCAAATGGTGGGAACCGGATTGAAAAACATCAAAATTTTGGATGCAGATGGGAAAACTGTTCCAGTTGATGCCAACGCTCATTTTCAGAATGCAAACTTCAAATCTCTTGACATTGGTAAGCTCCTGATTTTCTGAGCAATTTCATTGCATCAATGATTTATAGATATTTCCAAGTATACTCCTGGAAAATGGACAGTCTCAATTTCGACGTCGAGAGGCGGATGTCAGTTGACAGTTAGACACAAGTCCAGAAACGGAGTAGTATACGGATTCACGGATAAAAGCGATGCAGACATCGTCAACACTCAGATTCCACTTCAGAGATCTGGTAACACAATCGACAGCAATACTTCGAAACAACTTATGATTTATAGCTCTTCCAACAAACGAACCAATCTACATTCCAATTCGAATCATACAGGGTACTCAGCAATTGGCTAAGCTCACATCAAATCTCGAAATTCGTAATTAATTATTTAAGTTTAATTTTTGTAAAGTGTGTATAATTCTAGAATTGGTGAATAGAGCACGATATGATCAACCAACGAGCTACCAAAATACTTCGGTACTTCAACGGGATTCTGCCACGTGTTCCTTCAACTACATAACTCCAAAAGTGACGATTCCAAGAAACGATCTGACAACATTTACCCTCACCAGCTATGATGACACAAATAGTTTAATTCTTCGGCGAATTTTCTATTACTATCAACACTCCCCAGCAGGTAATCAGCACTCTTTTCACAGAAAAATAATTAATTCGATTTGAGATCCTTCTGTTTGCCATGGCGGTCAAGTGGATAAATACGGTCAGTGTATCTGCCCAGAACGATACACTGGGGAGTACTGCTGGGATAGGATATGTGCTTCTGGGGCCACATTGTCACATGGAATCTGTAGTTGCTCTTCTGGATTCTATGGAGACTTTTGTGAACTGGAACTATTGATGCCGAATGCTACGACGGCTTCAACAGCGGGGCCTTTAGAAACAACAACAAAAACTGGGTCATCTTTTTTCCCGGGTTTCTTTTTGGTTATTATAGCTATTGTTTCTTTTTATTTTTAAGAAATTTTACATCATATGACATATATAATACTTAAATTTAAACGTAATAAATCTTCATAATAATACTTTTGTGAGAATCTCTTGGCCAAAATGCTGCAGACCCATACTATAGAAAATCGAAAATTAAACTGAGAATCAGAGAAAAGTTACTGTACATTTTTTCCATTTTCTTGTAGCATTCAATAATTCCAAGAAGAAAATATGTGAGAAACGCGATCAGAAACGGAATGGTATTCAAAAAATGGAAAACAGATCATCTGTTTGACAGCTTGGCCAAAATGTTGAAGACCCATACAACACAATATTGAAATTTTACTGTAAATGTATTTTGTTTTCTTGTGGGCTTTTATAATCCAGAGAATAGTAAAAGAAAATATTTTCGATTTAAAAAACAGTTCTTTGAAGTGTTGTGCATTCTTCAAATTAAGACAAAATACAAACAAAATGTGGCAATTATGACTAGTAATGAAAATGTTTGTTGTGAGAAGCATGTAGTCGTCTCTTCTGGGATATGGGTAACTTGTGATACTGCAGTATCGTTGATATGTAGTTCTGAAAGCGAGTATTATAATGAAATGAACTTCTTTTAGACACCAACCGATTTCACAAAAATCACCGTAGAAACCGGGAAAGCAGCTACACATTCCATAGGAATATATTGCAGGTTGTTGGCATATTCTATCCCAACAGTACTCTCCAGTATATCTTTCTGGGCATTTACATTGTCCGAATTGATCTACTTGACCGCCATGACATACTGATGGATCTGCTGGTAGATGTTGATAATAGTAGAATATCCGATGAAGAACTAGTTTTCCAAAATCAAAACCAGATACTGTGATTGTTACGAGCTCATTTTTCGGAACCACTAGACTTTCGGATACGAAATTGTATGTACAAGAATTAGCATCTCGCGGAGTAATCGTCGAGTTCGAATAACTTTGAGGTTGATCGTATCGTTTTCTATTCACAATTTCTGAAAAATTATATGCAATACATTTGGTATTACTACCCCCGTCTTACGTAGTTCCAAATTAGTTGGTGTGACTTCTCCAGTTGTTTTGAGTAGGGAATAAATCGGATGTAATCCGGATAAACCTAAATAGTGAACTTTGTAATTTATCAAAAATATAGCCAAAATACTTCTTTGTGAAATTATTTGAGTGGAAGCAATGTCATCATTGTCAGACGACGTGAATCCAAGAATCATCCCAATCGAAGTTTTTTGTCTTACTGTAATCTGGCAGCCACCCGAGGTGACTAATGCTGATAGTTTCCAAACTCCACTAGCGAATATATTCGATTCTTAAAACTCCGTTTCGAATGATGATTTATTGTTGGACAGATGACTCTTACTAATTTTCATGGAGAGGAAGTTTGGGTTCGAATAAGTTGTGTAATCCTTCTTAGAGATGAGAGTAAATGAAGTTAATTTGTTGCAAAGTTTCTAATTAATAGTGAACGCATTTATTTTTTTTTTCAAAGATTGAAACAAAAGATTCGATAATTTCCATACCGTTTGAGTCTTGCATTGAAACAGTTTTCAAGCCAGTTCCAATGACTTGAATAACGGAATATTCCGCTCCATCCTCTAAATATCCATTGATTTCCAAAGGAGCATCATGGCAATTCTGAACCAAATATTATATTATTTTGCTCATATTCCAATTATCTCACATATTGTTCATTGTCAGTAGTCAGTGTAGTCACTCCCATCATATCAGCAAATAATGGATAAAGCTGTAATCGTTATCAATTTTTGAGTATTTTTTTAAAATGAGAAACATACTGTATTTTCAGTTTTTCCCAGTGGGATCAGTCGACCGTTTGACATTTTTTGAACAAGTTCCAACTGTTTTTGAAGTGCAAAAATTTCTGTAGTGACTCCATCAGCAATGGTGAAAAAGTTGACCTGAATTTTAAAATGTTACTTGAATTTCTTCAATTTTTTAATACCTCCATGTGTCTTCCTATTATATCCCAGTGTCTGGATATATTTTGAACATTTTTAACAGCTTGATTTGTGAAATAATACACTTGAGCAGTTGGTTGAATGTTCATTTTCTGAGCTTGAACTATTGAAAGTAGTCCCATTGTGTTGTCTAAATTTGGGATGAGGGTCAACGAAGATACCAAACTTTGGAATCGTTCAATAAATAGAATTGGATTGTAGGAGCTCAGAAGAACATGTGATTCTGGAAAATGAGTCATTACCGATGAATCCTCATAAGAAATAACCTTTGGAGTCGTGGACTATCAGTGTGAATTCTTTTTTGTATGACGTCTCCGTGGTAACATTGGTCAAATACAGAATTTGGCTGATTTCCATTGCCAGAGTCATATATATCTGTTC